AGAGGACAGCTCTACAGTGGGCGTTTGACTCGCCTACACTGTGCGAGAGGAAGGGCCCTCCCATCCCTTCCCAACTGGACAAGGGAAGAAGCAAAGATGGGCAGTACCGTTGGAGGCCTGGGTGTGGTTGGAACGCTGCATCAGGGTATTCAGGTTTGCCTTTGCTACAGCAACGCGCTGCACCCCGTCTTGAGCCTCATAGGAAAAGGCGTGGCCAAACTCCTCCATATGCCAGATTGTCTCCTTCTTGTCCAGGTCCACATAAAACACCTCATCCCCATCAAACTGGAACATACACTCCCCTGAAGGTCTATGAGATTGTGCAAATACTAAATAAATTGACATATGGTCCGCTATATAAAGAAAGTACAGAAAAACATGACAAAATGTTAAGTATGAATATGTAAGCATATAAGTGGCCAGAGAATGTTGAGAGAGAGAGAGAGAGAGAGAGAGGAAAGAAACCAAAGAGGAAGAAAGCCCTACAGATACAGCTGAGATAATTAGTCATATCCATCAAGGATCCAAAATATATTCATACCCATATCAAGATATGTTCACTACGATGTTTGTTATTATTATTTTTTAACAACACAAATCCATTTTTATTCATTTACTTTTCATTATTTTCAATCCTTGAGGGTACAGCATCACACAGATTCTGTGTCCAATGGGTTTAGCAAGAAAGTTGCTTCAGAATTTGGCTCAAACCATGCCACTGTTCCCATGGACACAAGTAACTTTTGCCCACACATGTGCTGGGCACGTGTGCATGCATGCCCAAGATCCTGAGAGGAGAATGGAGAAGAAGGGATTGGTTTTATTTGATTTGCCACCAGGGGCCACTGTGTTTTTTGCTTTATACACAAAAGCACACCTCTTGTCTAAATACAATTCTGTTTCATCTCGTGCATAAACACCTTCAATTTTAAGAAGAGCTGTGCGCTCCCTTTGGTTCCTGAGACCCCACTTATAGCCAGCAAAAATGACCTTGGACCACAGCCTTCCAAACATAGTTAGTTGCCTTTTAGAAATCCTGTTCCCAGTAGGCCTCCACAGGCTCCAAGATGGCGGAGAGACGCATGGTGTTTATTATGACACAACACTGGAAACGACTTAAGTAACTATCAACAGGGCAACAGGTTCTTCGGTTTCTCCCCAGTCTTACTACCTCTTTACTTCTAGCCACCAACCCCCACTTTAATTAGAACTGGGGGCTCATGTGCCTCTTTTGTTATCAATTCCAAATTTTCATAGCACTGCATTTTTAAATGACAATACCAGGCTCAGGCTTGATGCCTGATGTCAGCAGCAGAGAGCTGAGCATTCATTGCGATTTAAAATCGCTGGCTGAGTCCTTGTGATTATCCAGACTAGACCCCCCAGTGCCACAATAGTCCCCCTGGTCACTCAGGACCTGAATCACAGGGTCAGCAAAAACATGAAACATGGCTGTCTTAGAAGAAGAAGGCGTGCATTCCACCCACAGAGATCCAGGCATGGTCCTAGTATCCTTGGAGAGCGGGGGAAATACTGAGGAACACTCTCAGCACTTGCTGTCCTATATTCCGACACGCAGAGCCCTGCCTTCGAGTCCCCCAAAAGCAGCCACACAAAGCAGAGGCTGGGGGCCCCGGAGAGATGGGGG